GAGGAATTTTAAAGGAAAAATAAAAGGGGTACAATGAAATGTAAAAAAAGAAAATCAAAGAGAAAAGCCCAAGAGCCAACAAAGAAAACTATCTCTATCAAGAAGCAGTACAAATAGAACGAAGAAAAATACACTATTATAACCTGTGCCAGGTTTAAGAAAAAATTTTATAACAACTGCAACATTTGTATATCTTGACAACAAAATCTAACAAATTATTATCCAACTACCGACCAATTCCGGACGCTGCTATAGACCCGATCTCAGTCACGTGGAGGTCCTGTATCCGTAGACTACGTCGTGTCATATATCCACTGATAAACAAGGCACATGGTTGCATTTCTGGGTACTTCCGAATTTGAGAGGTAAACAATGCCGATCTTTTGGAGGGGGTAAGCCAAATCGCCCACTTTTTGTCGAAAAATTTGGAGAAGACCGACAGGACCAAGGGAGACTTAAAGGAAGGACCACTAGCACCCAAAGAAAGTATTTTATCCTTGAAAGAACCGACGACTAGTAACCCTTTTTCTAGGAAAGGAGAGGAGCTACTGTACTTAAACGGTAAGTGATAAACTCTAAACTTGTCAGCAAGTAGCATATGAGAAATACTTCTAAACGACAAGTGCCATGCCAGCGGTGAGTGATAAACTCTGAAGAAGTTAGCAAGTTGCGTATGAGAACTACCTCTAAATAACAACTGCTGACTTATAGATTCCAGTTTTACGCTCTCTATTACTTACTAGTTACTGTTTTTTGCAAAAATTGTTTGGGAAATTTTGGTTTTAGTGATCGTTGGAAAGAGTTCGATAATTATATTCGTCTTGGCAATTATTTTATCAAATTTAATAATTTTTTTTTATTTTAATTCTATATAATTTCAAGATTAAAATAAAAAGTTTTTAGCAAATTTTATTAATTAGTTGTTGAGATATTTTATTTTAAAAATTAAAAAAATTTTACTAAAAACAATTTGTGCTAATATAAGATAAATCATATTAGAAGTAGAATTTGTCCATCTACACATGTGTCTATATTTGTAGTTTAATGTTAACAACATATGCATACTAGTAATATAATAAACATCATATGATAAACTATGGACCCAGAATTTATTGAAATAAGTAACAAATTTTGTTTACAATATACTGAGAAGTCTCTTAATAAAAAATTACTACTGTCTAAATAATTAACAAAGTAAAACCCCAGGTCGAAAAAAAGCTCCAGTGCATAAGCAGGCATAGAACTAGTTATTTTTTAATATTATTTTAATATAATACTTTTGTATTCCAATCTCAATTTTGTAAATATGAATTTACAAGCTGCTTAGATTAGCTAATACTATCAACTATTTATAGCAAAAAAAAATCTCTAGAAAAAAAATTTTACTGTCTTACAAATTTGAAAGCATTGTATATAGTCTATTACACTTGCACTCGCCTTTGAGAACACAAGTCGAATTAAGCTCTATGGAAACTGTATAGCTGGACAAAAACCAGAGACATATCGGGTTTTGATATGTCCCCGGTTTTTTATTTTAAAATCAGATACATATTGAGTACCCGATATGAATATGGAAGTAACCTGATTATAATATAATATACCTAAAAGTTATCAGATTTAAACAGGTGTCAAATCAGATAACCTGATAGCAATATCGGTAATTTTATATAACTATGAAATTTAACTGATAAATACTGGTTTTCTATAGAACAATTGGGTACAAATCAGATCAATATCGTAATTAAATAAGGTACTTCATGATTATTCCATGAATAAAGGCAAATCGGGCACCAATTGGCATCATGTAATCCCGATATGAGCCTGATTTGAAACAAATATTTGGCGCAATTAGGAGACCTTTAGGACTTTAGAATGCAAATCGGGTTCATATAAGCATTCAATACATATCAGAATGCTGATGGATCTATTGGTAAATTGATAAAGCTTGCCTTATAGCTTTATCAATTAACCAATAGATACACCGGCATTCTGATACATATATATTGAATGCTTATATGAACCCGATTTGCATTCTAAAGTCCTAAAGGTTTCCTAATTGCACCAAATATTTGTTTCAAATCAGGTTCATATCGGTGCCAATTGGAGCCCGAATTGCCTTGTGTTCAATACAAGTACAGTACATTATGGTGTTTCTTTGAAATTCCGAAATCAGAAAATATTTTTTTAAAATTTGATCCTTGTAATGAATGCTGGAATGTATAATTGATAAATTTGAAAATATTGTAAAATCGATTGACGTAGCAATAGTTAAAATAAATTACGTATTATAATAAAATATATAATGCTAATCTAATTACCAGTTACACAAGATTAGTATAAATATACTTCTTTTATAATTCAAACTACAGAACTGCTTTTTTTCTTTTGTTTAAACTTTTCTTTTTTTTAATATTTTCAGGTTTTGTAATGCTTTTTCTTTGTGGAATCTTGTTGTTTGAAGCCATCCATTCCAGCAGTTTTTCTTTTTCGTTGGTGTCATGATTCTTTACTGCCAGTGCAGTTCTTTCGTTAACAGCTTCACTAGTTTTTCGTGAAATCATACTTTTTTTTTTCTTGTTTTTTTTTTCTTGTTGTTTTCTTTTTTTACTGAGTACTAACATATTTAGTTTTTATAGTGCTTTTTTTCTTCATGTATTCTCGTTATTGGAGTTATCCATTCTGGTCTTCATTGGTGTTGTCCTTTTGTTAATAGCTTCATGTAATTTTTCGGGAAATCATACTTTTTTTTCTTGAACTAGTTTTCTTTTTTGCTGAATATTACCATTTTCAGTTTGTAGTGCTTTTTTCTTCGCATGATCTCATTATTGGAGTGGTAAATTTTCTTGTCGTGTCTTTTTTACTGCCAGTGCAGTCCTTTTGTTAATGGCTTCATTACGTTTTTTCGGGAAATCATACTTTTTTTTTCTTGAACTTGTTTTCTTTTTTTACTAAGTATTACTATTTTAGTTTGTAGTACTTTTTTCTTCATGTGATCCCGTCATTGGAGTGGTAATTTTTTTCTTCATTGGTGTTGTGATTCTTTACTGCCAGTGCAGTCCTTTTGTTAACGGCTTCACTAGTTTTTCATGAAATCATACTTTTTTTTCTTGTTGTTTTTTTTTTTTTACTTAGTACTTATATTTTCAGTTTTTATAGTGCTTTTTTTTTAGTGTGATCTCATTGTTGGAGTCAACTATTCTGGTGAATTTTCTTCTTTGTTGGTGTCATGTCTTTTTACTGCTAGTGCAGTTCTTTTATTAACAGCTTCATCACATAGTTTTTCAGGGAAGTATACAATTTTTTTTGATCTTGTTTTCTTTTTTTTTTTTTTTTACTTTGAGTACTAATTTTCAGTTTTGTAGTGCTTTTCTTCATAGAATCTCATCATTGGAATTGTCCATTCTGTTCTTCATTGGTGTTATGTTTCTTTATTCTGTTGTAGTTCTTTTATTAATAGCTTTTGTCACTTAATTTTTCAGAGAAGCAAAGATTTTTCTTTACTTGAGTAATAACATTTTAGTTTTAGGTGCTTTTCTTCTTGTCGTATAGATGCCCGTTTTACCATTTTTATAATTGAAATCACCCATTTTCTTCATCGTTGGTGCTGTCAGTTACTGGTTTAGCTAGTGTTAACGGCTTAGAGTGTAGGGTTAATTACTAGGAGGTTTAAATATGTTGCATAATTAAATATTTGTTATATATTAAAATGTAATGCTATGTATACAGTAATATATAAATAATAAAGAATATAAGCGGTACTGGTGATTGTCACTAGCTATAGTTATTAATTAAAAACAATTGAATAACCGATTGCTCTTGGGATTATATAATAAGAAACTGGTTTTAATACAATATTGAGAATATTAGAATACCTATTAGTTTATTAAAATACCAATTGGTATACCCAATTTGACTATTAAAGCTCTCCGATAGGTTTCTGATTTCAAACAGATATTTGGTAGAAATAAGATACCAATCAGGAATATTTAGATACAAATTAAGATTAGTATCGAAAAACTGGTAGGCCTTTACGTTAAATCAATAGTTATCTTAAATTAACCTGATATGTATTTGGGTTTCTAGCAATTTAGTGCAAAATAAAATACCTATCAGTTTAATATATTGGCCTATCGGTAGTTCCTAAATATTCTTAATTGGTATCTTATTTCCGCCAAATATCTGTTTGAAATTAGAGACCCATCAGAGATATTTTCAATTTACTAGTCAGTAAACTTCCATATGCATATCGGATTGATATAGAATACTTATCAGGTACCTGATTGTTATCTGGTATAGTTTCGTTTGACCTGTGGAAAAGCAGTGTAATATAGTGCAATCAAAAGAATCACAATTGTACTTATAAAAGAGTATATAAAATTTTCAATAAATTGTTGGGAAGATAAGTATTTTTTATAAATATATTACAACAAACTTCATTATTTTAATTTAACATTTTTTCTTTTGGATTTTTTACTGCTCAGATTAATTAATAATCTTTAAAATTAAAGATTCTATATATGTATGTAAATACAATATTTGTACTTTGCTAACCTAATTATTTAGTGCCTAATTTTTTAAAACTCACTTATTTATGATCTCATATTTGTGAAACATGGTTTTGCTAAATATGCTTTTACTACTGTCACGGGCTAATTAGTGACTTGCACTGCCAAATAACCTATCTCTGGATGGGAAGCACTGGATCACTTACCTTATTCCAATTCTCAGGTTTATATTAAGGCAAGTGTTTTATATTACTCAAATGAAGTTTTTGTTTTTTTTTTTTTTTTTAAATTCGGCAGTTTTGCCAATACTGTTTATTAGTATGCTAATGTATTTGGTTACAAATATCATATATACAATTACAACTCTCTAATGTTTTACAAGATATTAGCTCACCCAGTTACTAAATTAGTATCTATGTGTGACCTGCTATATGAGATTTTATCTTCTTAATAACCGCCCTGCAACTAAACCAGTTACTAAATCACTGGATGGTTCCCAAACCTAATTTTTTATTATATATATCCCACTTATATACTACTGTACAATGTCTACCAAACAACTTTCATCTCTCATCACTTATCACATTACTTCTAATTCAGTACTTGTATTATTTCCAAATTGGTGTCCTTCGAGTGGGTGCTCTTCGTGCTTCTAGTTTGGTGTCTCTAGAGAAGTTACTTTATGAGCCTAGCTGTATCTCAAACAGTTAAGTTGCCAAACTAGGATAATATTTCACATTAATCCAGATATTTGCATCGTACACCACCAAATTAGACTACTGATCCTTTTATAGTACTCTCTATTGGTATAGTGTTACAGAAGTCTAGATCCTTAGGATAGGAGTTAGGTATCTCATTTAATCACTGTCACAAGCCAGTGACTCAGGACCCGCACTTCTGCCATATTTGTTATAGACTTTCATATAGGTTGTGTGACTATTACTTTCTAGCCTGTCTTTATTTTTGTACTACCGGATTGCTTGCTTCTTTTCGGAGTTTTTTTTTAGCTGGTTTTCTTTGTTTTTTTGTACCAGAGGTGTTCTATATTTGGTAAAGCCATCCTCTTACCCAGCCCCTTACTATGTTCACCACTTCTAGAAATACCGCATATAGCCATCCTTCTAATCAAGATCCCAATGCTGCCTTAGAGTTGTTAATGCTATCTTGCCAATCGTGAATTCACACTCACAGCCTTCTGCAGTAAACCTTCTGTGACCCATATCATATACAGTGCCCAGTCTTCTCCATGGCTTGAGGCTCCTTCCAAGAATTCTTTATAGGCCAAATATATACATCACATGATCTTACCACCACAGGGTTTTATATTTGAAAGCTTCCGAAGGTTACAAAGATAATTAATTAAATTAATTACCACTAGCTATAATCGAACCGTCGACCTCGTCTGTAGAGGGTTAGATGCCTAAACCACTAGGCTACGAGACTCTAATCCTAAAATAAAGTTTTGTTAATTAAGAGTAAAACTAAAACTAATATGAACTCAAACTCTCTTTATTATTACTATCACTTTGATCCTTATATACATATTTGACTTTAATTATTACATCATATTCTGTAATATCTTTCTAATTAGTATCTGTTGTGCTGCTATTACTGAGTTCATATCTCAAACTACTTTTTAG